ATCGCTCCCTTTGAAAGCAGTGTGGGTGTATGACCCACTTAATTTTTGTATTTATAACTCATTACAATTGTGACCAGGTGTGGACGTATCAGTGGTTCATTACTTTGTAATTTGTCCATGACTGTAACCATGTATAGGCGTGAGGCTGATTCATTACCTCTGTAACTTGCCATGATTGTGACCAGATCTACCTGGAGTTCATTACCTTTGTAACTAGTTCAGCTATCATAACTTTGGGGCCCAGTCCCTGGACCCATTGTGTACCTTTGTAATCTTTTGACTACCGCCCACAGGATGGGTATGGTGTGACTACCGCCCACAGGATGGGTATGGTGTGACTACCGCCCACAGGATGGGTATGGTGTGACTACCGCCCACAGGATGGGTATGGGGTGCATAATAAAGATATTAAACTAAAACTAACTAACTTTGAAAGCAAAAGACTCGGCAGACGATGGAATATCCCCCAACGACAAGCAGGGGTGCTACTAGCACGATAAGAGAACACAATAAGTGTCAGGGGCCCAAGACTGTTCAACTGCCTCCCAGCATACATACGGGGGATTACCAGTAGACCCCTGGCTGTCTTCAAGAGGCGCTGGACAGGCACATAAAGTCAGTACCTGACCAGCCGGGCTGTGGTTCGTACGTCAGGTTGCGTGCGGCCAACAGTAACAGCCTGGTTGATCAGGCCCTGATCCACCATGAGGCCTGGTCACAGACCGGGCCGCGGGGGCATTGACCCCCGAAACCCTCTCCAGGTATACTCCAGGTATAACAAGAGGCTTTTTATATAGTATTATAGTATGTCACTCATGTTAGCTAGGCCTATATACCTTGTACATGTACTTGTAGAAATAATAATAATAATAATAATAATAATAATAATAATAACTATTATTATTATTATATTATTATTTGAAAAAAGCTTGCTGCCATTCTGACACAGATATATTATCCAGTTTTTATTTGAAAGTTGTAGATTAGTTATGAAAAGTTTCTAAGAATTGTTTCACGAACTTTAATAGTAGTGCATTATGATGGTGATGATCCATGGTGCACACCATCTTCATGGTCACCATTATGATGGTGATGATCCATGGTGCACACCATCTTCATGGTCACCATTATGATGGTGATGATCCATGGTGCACACCATCTTCATGGTCACCATTATGATGGTGATGATCCATGGTGCACACCATCTTCATGGTCACCATTATGATGGTGATGATCCATGGTGCACACCATCTTCATGGTCACCATTATGATGGTGATGATCCATGGTGCACACCATCTTCATGGTCACCATTATGATGTGATGATCCATGGTGCAGACCATCTTCATGGTCACCATTATGATGGTGATGATCCATGGTGCACACCATCGTCATGGTCACCATTATGATGGTGATGATCCATGGTGCACACCATCTTCATGGTCACCATTATGATGGTGATGATCCATGGTGCACAACCATCTTCATGGTCACCATTATGATGGTGATGATCCATGGTGCACACCATCGTCATGGTCACCATTATGATGGTGATGATCCATGGTGCAGACCATCTTCATGGTCACCATTATGATGGTGATGATCCATGGTGCACACCATCTTCATGGCCACCATTATGATGGTAATGATCCATGGTGCACACCATCTTCATGGTCACCATTATGATGGTGATGATCCATGGTGCAGCACCATCTTCATGGTCACCATTATGATGGTGATGATCCATGGTGCACACCATCTTCATGACACCATTATGATGGTGATGATCCATGGTGCAGGCCATCTTCATGGTCACCATTATGATGGTGATGATCCATGGTGCACACCATCTTCATGATCACCATTATGATGGTGATGATCCATGGTGCAGACCATCTTCATGTCACCATTATGATGGTGATGATCCATGGTGCACCATCTTCATGGTCACCATTATGATGGTGATGATCCATGGTGCACCCATCTTCATGGTCACCATTATGATGGTGATGATCCATGGTGCACACCATCTTCATGGTCACCATTATGATGGTAATGATCCATGGTGAGGCCATCTTCATGGTCACCATTATGATGGTGATGATCCATGGTGCAGACCATCTTCATGGTCACCATTATGATGGTGATGATCCATGGTGCACATCATCTTCATGGTCACCATTATGATGGTGATGATCCATGGTGCACACCATCTTCATGGTCACCATTATGATGGTAATGATCCATGGTGCACACCATCTTCATGGTCACCATTATGATGGTGATGATCCATGGTGCAGACCATCTTTATGGTCACCATTATGATGGTGATGATCCATGGTGCACACCATCTTCATGGTCACCATTATGATGGTGATGATCCATGGTGCACACCATCTTCATGGTCACCATTATGATGGTGATGATCCATGGTGCAGACCATCTTCATGGTCACCATTATGATGGTGATGATCCATGGTGCACACCATCTTCATGGCCACCATTATGATGGTAATGATCCATGGTGCACACCATCTTCATGGTCACCATTATGATGGTGATGATCCATGGTGCACACCATCTTCATGGTCACCATTATGATGGTGATGATCCATGGTGCACACCATCTTCATGATCACCATTATGATGGTGATGATCCATGGTGCAGGCCATCTTCATGGTCACCATTATGATGGTGATGATCCATGGTGCACACCATCTTCATGATCACCATTATGATGGTGATGATCCATGGTGCAGACCATCTTCATGGTCACCATTATGATGGTGATGATCCATGGTGCACACCATCTTCATGGTCACCATTATGATGGTGATGATCCATGGTGCACACCATCTTCATGGTCACCATTATGATGGTGATGATCCATGGTGCACACCATCTTCATGGTCACCATTATGATGGTAATGATCCATGGTGTAGGCCATCTTCATGGTCACCATTATGATGGTGATGATCCATGGTGCAGACCATCTTCATGGTCACCATTATGATGGTGATGATCCATGGTGCACATCATCTTCATGGTCACCATTATGATGGTGATGATCCATGGTGCACACCATCTTCATGGTCACCATTATGATGGTAATGATCCATGGTGCACACCATCTTCATGGTCACCATTATGATGGTGATGATCCATGGTGCAGACCATCTTTATGGTCACCATTATGATGGTGATGATCCATGGTGCACACCATCTTCATGGTCACCATTATGATGGTAATGATCCATGGTGCACACCATCTTCATGGTCACCATTATGATGGTGATGATCCATGGTGCACACCATCTTCATGGTCACCATTATGATGGTGATGATCCATGGTGCACACCATCTTCATGGTCACCATTATACCTTCAAAATATAGCCTTGTGAACTTCCTTGAGACAGGTAACAGAGTCAGACTCGCCCACGAGAGAAGTATTATATATGAAATTGTAAAGTAAATTTATTCCTTAATACAGAATGGGTAAATAACTGAACAAATGAATTAGTGATATAATAAAGATGAGAAAATTAGAATTTTATGAAAGTGGCAGGAAGGACTCAGTGTATATATTAATACTATACTTTTGTTAAAGTGTTTCCTAAAACTTTTCCAAATCCGAATTTATCTAACTTTAATCCATTATCGACATGTCTGTCTTTTATAGTTTCAGCAAATTATCCGTCTTTCATATTACACCTTATGAGAGAGTAAGATCAGTGTTCTCGATGTATCTCAATCGTTAAGATCCCTGAGACAGAGTTAACTCTCATTCTTCAGTGTATAGCTCCATTTGTGACCATTTTCCAAGTTGATTTCTGTTCGCTGTCTCTGCTGACTGTCGACCCCTGGAGAGAGGTTCCTTGATGCTGGCAAGGGGCTTTTGATCTAAGTAATTTGACTTGTGTGACCCTTACTTGCACTGAGTACTTCCCACTATCCCCAATAATAATTACACACAGAGTCACTCAGAACAAAACTGACCTAATTTGCCAGAAATGCTTTGCATAACAAGCGGCTTTCTATATAATAGTATGTCATTGATGTCACCTGGGTCTGTATACCTTGTACATGTACTTGTAGTAAATAAAGATATTATTATTATTATTTATGATAATGATGACTATCAATCACCGATGCCTCTCATGCCTCTAATAATTACCATTCTCAGGCTTGGTATTGCTGTATAATCCTACGGGTTTAGCGCTTTCCTCTTGATTATAATAATAATAATCAGGCTTGGTATAAGGTGTGTAATATAACTAGCAAACTTTCCTCCACTTTCATTTATTATTATCCTTAGTAGAATTATCAGATGACAATACCAGGTAAATGACGTGCAGATCTTACATCATGGTTAATCTTTCCTACCCCCCCCCCACTCGGCCCCCCTTCCAATAACCAGGGAGAAAAATCAATAAAGCATTAAACGACGCATCAAGCGAAGGACGCATCAAGCGAAGTATTAAGCGACGCATCAGGTGAAGCATTAAACGACGCATCAAGAGAAGCCTTGAAGGACGCGTCAAGCGACGTATCAGGCGAAACATTAAGCAACGCATCCAGTGAAGCATTAAACGACGCATCAGGCGACGCATTAAACGACGCATCAGGCGAAGCATTAAACGACGAATCAAACTCAATACTAAACGCTTGGTCAAGCTATTAAACGACAAATAAAAATAAGCATTACTGATACATTATGAAGCATTAGACAATGCATCAATGCCCCAGCTCTGTATGACCCGTATGGATTTGGTGTTTATTTATGATTATAACAATAACGAATCAATGAAATACTGATGCGGCAGCACAATAATAAACGAAGCATCAAATAAATCATTAAGGAAATTTATCCGACCGTATCAACACCCCGCTGCAGTATGGTCATGTGTGAGGTGTAGTGAAGGACCTGGAGAGCCTTCCACACACACGAAAAAAAATATAACACAAATAAGAACGGTAACGTTGCTAGCAGTGACTCACCTGACTTGCCGACGCCCTCCGCCCCCAGCACAACAATTCTGAGCCTGGCCAACTGCTGGTACCTGGGGCGTCCCTCCCTTCCTGGGGCCGACGAGGGCACTTTGTCTCTCTCCTCACCACCCTGCACCTTCTCTCCTGTTGGGGCGACACCTGCTCGTTAGATCAGCAAGAATATTATTCTCATGATGGCCACAAAAGTAATGAAATTTATTTTTTTTAATTAATAGTAAATGTGTAACGCATGATCTCTGTGGGTTTAGCGTTTACCCATGAGAATACTGCATGCAAGGAAGGTAAAAATATAATTATGAATGGCCGGTTATTATATTCATGGGGAGGTACCAAACCCATAGGCAGTCATGCAACTATAAATTGCTGGCGATTCGCAGGTTAGATATATGGACAGTTTTTTTGTATTGCATGCAAGAGTACAGGGTGGGTGTGGTTCCCCGGGGCTGAGATGAGGTATAAGGTCAGTATGATGGATAATATAATAAGACGATGGGAAGAACCCCATTATCTGCCTTGGTGATGCTAAGAAGATACGAGTGAAAGCAGTAATATACTTCAAGATGGTAAGTCACAGGGAGGGATTCAGGTCACACGAGACATTTTCTCAAAAATAATGAGTAGTGACTGACTATGTTGTGGTAATTGGTATAAATTGTTGGCTGGACAATTTTTTTGCAGTGAAAAGGTAATACAGTTTACTGACTACTGGAATATAGTTCAATTCAAACATGACCTCTGGCGTAGGGTGGGTGTGTTCAGAGCCTTAAATGATAAAAGTCGAGGAGTCTGTACCTGCAAAACAGTATAATTTCTACATCACAGATGGGACAGGCAGAGATAATCTTGACCTGAAAAACAAATACGGTAATACAGAGAAATATTTTAACTGATTCTCTTTTTCGGTTAGAATTATTCAAATATTCTTATTTTTACCTTATACAATTCTCACTCTCGAAGTAAATGTGACCAAAGACAATCTTTTTTTCTAGTTATGTGTCATTATTGTATGTTAATAATTGGTCATATGCCTCCATAGTCTTGAAGATTGTTCCAGACTATGGAGCAAATCTCTCCTTCAGGCTGAGGGACTGACCACATCAAGATTACGTCTTCAAGAGTGATGGACTGATAACATCATCTTCACATCTGTACTGCTTCTGCTAACTCTTCTGTACTCGACTGAAGAAGCCTACTGTGTAGGCGGAAAGTTTCGGAATAAAGATACCTAACTGTTGCAAATGTCTTACTTATGAAACTGGTATGTAATACCTGTGGATATTGTATACCATTTTCATAATCATTCTACTACGTCAAGTCGAGACACAGCAAGTCACTGACACACCATACTGAACCCTGACTCTCGGTGCCCACACCACAAATAATGCCCAAATCTGTGCAGTGAGAAGACGGTACTGGAGGTTCTCTGTAGGAGTTGAATCCTGATAATTTTGGTTAAAAAATATTAAATTAGAGTAAGTCTCCAATCTTATAGAAGAAAAATGAAAATCTGTTCCTTCGATAGAATCGAATCTGACTTCCAATCTCACAAGAGCTGTATGGATTTAATACTTCCCCATATGTGTAAAAACTAATTTTCTAATGGAAGCAGGAAAAAGTAGTTCGCAATTACATCAAGTGGACACCTAGTCCAAGACGTTATTTTGTTTTGTATGTTTTTGTCTTTTATTTAAACGAGGTTGTATTTACTTCGTTGCAGTAAATCTCATTATTGTTGAAATGCTCTTGCATTAATTATTATAGGTTATAACAGGGCTATTGTTATTAACTGAAGTGGTAAACTTGTGTGGATCATTCAGTACAGTAGTGGAGGCTCGATCCTCCTTTCTTCCCCTCTTGAGTGTGCATGCATGATTTTTCTTAATCTTAATTGTAATAAAATATATTTATGATACTATACCTCATAAATCTTATCTAAACGTTACCAAATACGGTAGTAATAACGATCTTTTTGATACACCAACATAGGTAGCACGCTAGATCAGTGCCGAGCCGAGGGAATGCTTTACTAGGCTGTCACTCGGCTCTCACAATTTGTACATGTTAGTTTGATCCGTAAACGAATTTTGAATTGATGCTTATTTTAGGAGATACCTGGGTTGTTTTGAAAAATATTTATGTAATGGAAATACACGAATACATGACAATAGCGTTTATCTTTCATACGATCAGCTCTTATACAACTCCTGAATACTGTGCATTTTTTCGCCAATGCGACTGAAAAAAAATGACATCGACAGTGGAGTAGCATTTATTATAAAGGCGTTTCCACACGCTATTTGATTTTGGATGTACTTATAAATCGCATTTACGAAAAACTGCACTCCATTTTTGAGACGAAATTTGTTTCTCTTACTCTTATTCACAATGTTTTTGTTATTGGTCATTAATATACAGTGTTCTAGTTAGTGACGCTTCTCAATGTTTATTAATGTGTAAGGGAGAAAGAATGAGGAATTGGCATTAACAAGAACATAAATTGGCACAAGTATTTAGTGATAAAAGGTTTTACATTCTTAGTAATTTTACAAATTCTTACATTTTCATGTGTTTTGTACGGCACTGTATTGACAATTATATTACAGGTTATGTAGATAAAGCTGTTGTAGTCTTGGTGTTGTACTGACGGAGCTGTTGTGCTCTCACTAGCTGTTGTAGTCTTGGTGTTGTACTGACGGAGCTGCTGTGTTCTCACTAGCTGTTGTAGTCTTGGTGTTGTACTGACGGAGCTGTTGTGTTCTCACTAGCTGTTGTAGTCTTGGTGTTGTACTGACGGAGCTGTTGTGTTCTCACTAGCTGTTGTAGTCTTGGTGTTGTACTGACGGAGCTGTTGTGTTCTCACTAGCTGTTGTAGTCTTGGTGTTGTACTGACGGAGCTGCTGTGTTTCTCACTAGCTGTTGTAGTCTTGGTGTTGTACTGACGGAGCTGTTGTGTTCTCACTAGCTGTTGTAGTCTTGGTGTTGTACTGACGGAGCTGTTGTGTTCTCACTAGCTGTTGTAGTCTTGGTGTTGTACTGACGGAGCTGTTGTGTTCTCACTAGCTGTTTGTAGTCTTGGTGTTGTACTGACAGAGCTGCTGTGTTCTCACTAGCTGTTGTAGTCTTGGTGTTGTACTGACGGAGCTGTTGTGTTCTCACTAGCTGTTGTAGTCTTGGTGTTGTACTGACGGAGCTGTTGTGTTCTCACTAGCTGTTGTAGTCTTGGTGTTGTACTGACGGAGCTGTTGTGTCTCACTAGCTGTTGTAGTCTTGGTGTTGTACTGACGGAGCTGTTTGTTCTCACTAGCTGTTGTAGTCTTGGTGTTGTAATGACGGAGCTGTTGTGTTCTCACTAGCGTTGTTGTAGTCTTGGTGTTGTACTGACGGAGCTGTTGTGTTCTCACTAGCTGTTGTAGTCTTGTGTTGTACTGACGGAGCTGTTGTGTTCTCACTAGCTGTTGTAGTCTTGGTGTTGTACTGACGGAGCTGTTGTGTTCTCACTAGCTGTTGTAGTCTTGGTGTTGTACTGACGGAGCTGTTGTGTTCTCACTAGCTGTTGTAGTCTTGGTGTTGTACTGACGGAGCTGCTGTGTTCTCACTAGCTGTTGTAGTCTTGGTGTTGTACTGACGGAGCTGCTGTGTTCTCACTAGCTGTTGTGCCTTGGTGTTGTACTGACGGAGCTGTTGTGTTCTCACTAGCTGTTGTGCCTTGGTGTTGTACTGACGGAGCTGCTGTGTTCTCACTAGCTGTTGTGCCTTGGTGTTGTACTGACGGAGCTGTTGTGTTCTCACTAGCTGTTGTAGTCTTGGTGTTGTACTGACGGAGCTGCTGTGTTCTCACTAGCTGTTGTAGTCTTGGTGTTGTACTGACGGAGCTGCTGTGTTCTCACTAGCTGTTGTAGTCTTGGTGTTGTACTGACGGAGCTGTTGTGTTCTCACTAGCTGTTGTAGTCTTGGTGTTGTAACTGACGGAGCTGCTGTGTTCTCACTAGCTGTTGTAGTCTTGGTGTTGTACTGACGGAGCTGTTGTGTTCTCACTAGCTGTTGTAGTCTTGGTGTTGTACTGACGGAGCTGCTGTGTTCTCACTAGCTGTTGTGCCTTGGTGTTGTACTGACGGAGCTGTTGTGTTCTCACTAGCTGTTGTAGTCTTGGTGTTGTACTGACGGAGCTGTTGTGTTCTCACTAGCTGTTGTAGTCTTGGTGTTGTACTGACGGAGCTGTTGTGTTCTCACTAGCTGTTGTAGTCTTGGTGTTGTACTGACGGAGCTGTTGTGTTCTCACTGGCTGTTGTAGTCTTGGTGTTGTACTGACGGAGCTGCTGTGTGTTCTCACTAGCTGTTGTAGTCTTGGTGTTGTACTGACGGAGCTGTTGTGTTCTCACTAGCTGTTGTAGTCTTGGTTGTTGTACTGACGGAGCTGCTGTGTTCTCACTAGCTGTTGTAGTCTTGGTGTTGTACTGACGGAGCTGTTGTGTTCTCACTAGCTGTTGTAGTCTTGGTGTTGTACTGACGGAGCTGTTGTGTTCTCACTAGCTGTTGTAGTCTTGGTGTTGTACTGACGGAGCTGCTGTGTTCTCACTACCATTATTGGTAATTTATTTAAGCAAGGCTCTTGTGAAAATGGACGACTTAAAAAATGTTAACTTTTAGAAAAAGCCCTGAATAGTATCAAAGCGTGTTCTTTTTTAAGTTAAACAATAAACTTTAATGTCAGTCTTAGTGAATTAGTCAAATTGAGGAGCCCAGATAGGAAATGGGAGGTTAGGGTTCCTCGAAAGGCATCAACTCCGTCGTTACGTATGAAGACGGGTTTAGCGCTTAGTTTCGATAATAATAAAAATAATAATATGTATGAAGACCATTTACTATTTTTTATTTAAGATTTATCTACTGTATGTGGATCATTACAGTTCAAATTCTCTAGTACATCAATATTATTATTATAACCAAGGGGAAGCGCTAAACCCGTAATATTATACAGCGCCTGGGGGGAATGTGGAAGGTATTCAGTCTTAATTCAGGGAACTGGAGGATAGATCCAATTCCCTAGATCAAGAGCTCCTTACCAGCGTCAAGGAACCTTCCTTGAGGGGTCTAGCACACCAACACCAAGAATATCTAAACCGTAAAGTAGAGGTTAAATTACGTATATACACACATAAACTGTATATTTCCTCTGTAATTCTAGTAATTTATCCAACAAACTGGCCTCTAATGCAGTACCATCTTTGCTTAAGTAATACCAGACACGATGACCTTCCTGAGTCTGGCACAGAAACTTTAAAATGAAATAGGAACTGTATTATTATAATGTTTAAATTCTACACTAGCTGGTATGTATATAAAGACAACGGGGAATATGTGATTATGTAATTACTTACCGGACTGGGCCTGTGGCTGATTTCTACACATGATGTTCTTGGGGAAGTTGGGGCATATAATAGTGTCTCCACGAAGACCTTTTCCGATTTTAGAAGCTTATTGTATAGTATTTACTCCTTCAGAATAGTGTATATGTATAGTGTAGGATTGTTCTGCAAGAAGTTGTTTTCCCGCGACTGCCGATTTACAGAGGCAGGAGATTTCAGGGCAGCAGTAAGAAGCAATCTTGGACTAGTTCCTTGGAGCCACTTCCTATTGCTTGGAGTGCGTCTTGAAGGCGCTGTGCAGGTCACCTCTGGGAGCTACTCTACTAGAACTTAGCAGCGTCATACCATCAACCATTACTTGCAGAGACTCCCGGAAAGGACCTTACAGATTGCACGAGCGTCGGCGATTAGCACGCACTGGAGATCATTTCCTGTTAGCCTCACTGGGTGTTTATGTTGAGGGCTCAGGAACTGGAGCAGCAACACCCTACCTCTGTGCTGTCTTGCGCTACACTCACGAGGAAGGAGGGAGGCTGTGTGACCATGGATCCTTCATTCCATCACAAGCCTTAATAGTGATAAATTTTAACATATTTTTTTGCAACGTTTTTAATAATATTTGCTTATCTCTGTGCGTTTAATACACTTTAATAAGAGTTTCACTGTATGCGTGCTTGACGATAAAAAAGATAAATGGTGCGTTATTGAATGATAGGGATGTTTGGCATATATTGGGAGGTAGACAGTTGTTGCCGGGTATTGTGCATGAGGCGCCAGGCAGCGGGGCATTTATCTCCTTACCACAAATATTCACCTGCTTCCTTCAGTTTCGTTCAAATATATAACATACTCACATCCCTTCTTTTTAATAACTTAGTTGTTTTTAACTAAACAGCTAAAAACTTAGGAAGATGCGAATCCTCAGTTTCTGGACGTCTCAGAGCTGGTGAGTCTTGATGACGAACCAGTGAAGACGAGCTAGTGAACGTAGAATGAGGAAAAGTAGAGGTGCAGCGTGTGCTTGTGGGGGTACTGGCAGTGTAGTGGCGCCAGCTTGACCGCGGACACCACCAGGTGTGCAGGCAAGTCTATCTCACCTCAACCCAAATTTTTTTTTTTGGAGGGGGGGGGGCACTGCAAAATATTTTATTTTTTGGGATGTAAATGAATTAACTTTCAGTGTAAACAGAAATAACTACCAATAGGTAAATATAACTAAAGGATATTACCCATTTCTATTTATCTCATACGAAAAAAGTTAGTTGTACATCTTTCCGAAAAATTAGCCTTTACACCAATCTGCCTGTAGCAGATTTTAACAACAATAGCCACTTTAAAACGCTTTTTCTGTTTAGTGAGGAACTAGTGCACAAACCTCAGTTACTTGCTTGAAGGTGCTCTTGCCCGTCCTGTATGACTTGTGACATATATGACTGGAGAACTCATTATGTCTGCTCACGGATTTGGCCTTTGCTAAGTAATGAATTTTATAATTACCGGGGTGCCAGTAGGGATCTCGGGGAAACTTTTAGTAGAGTCTCTTTACATATATCATGGTGGCTTAAATTTATGTGGGATATTTTAACTTCGTGTAACAATATTTGTTTTGTTTATGCTGGAAGTGTTTATTTTTTTTACTTAATTTTACCTTGGGTATCCTTGTGTATTTTGCATATATTTTTATTACCAAGAACGCTGAGTGATCGAACAGGTTCAAGAGCTTCTTCAAATCTCACAGCTTCCTTCCTAGAGTAGTAGTTTAACAGACTTTTTTTTTTTGAAAGTACCGAAATTGGCAATTCAGTATTTAAGTAAAATACAAATTCCGGATAACAAAAGAGGAAAAGTCTCTTCTGAAGACATGTTTGTAATGCTTTGTATGAAGAACAGAGAAATAACCAATAGTAATTACTGGTCAAATATGAGCGCAGTGCTTGCGCAGGATTAGGAAGTAAATTTGCTTGAACAAAATGCAATTGATTGGACGAGGGTGATAATAACTGCTGTTCTCATGAATGTTGAGGCCAAGAATATCTGAATAAATTAAACAGATAAAAAGTAAACTCTCGGTGTATATACACAATATATCTTGTTGTATATAAACCGAGAGTACTCTGTATATACACACTGTGCACTCCTGGGTGTGTATGCCATAAGAAATGCGCATCAGGGTATATACCCTGAGGCGCACACCTCCAGGTGTATAAGCCTCTGAAGGTACACACGTCTGGGTGCATATATCCTGAGAGATGCATATGTGTGGGTACATATACACCTCTGAGCGTATATGCCCCAAAAGGTGGACACCTTTGAGGATGGGGGATATACAGCTAGAGATGCCCACCTCTGTATATACCCTACCCCACAAGAGCTTTACCTAACCTCTCTTGTCTTGTATATACCTCAAGTGGCGCAAGCATTGACCAAGTTATTTCAAAGAGTGAAAGTCTTCAACTGCCGTGATAAACACATTCTGCATATAGTTTGCCAACAAAAACAAAAATCACGTAAAGTTTAAACTAATGTTTTTCTATACAATTTATTTATCGCTACTTAAACCAGCTTATTCCGCCAATATTGCCAGAACCCGGAAATGCGAAAAAGCACTTCAGTGTAAACTAAGGGAGGCCAGGCGGTTAGGTGGTCGCCTGCCCAGCTAAGTTTAGCGTGTTAAACTTCCGTTCATTATCATATCATTCACGGTATTTGCTGATACCTCTGGGTGTGTAAACCTCGACAGAGGCTCATATTTCATTTCAACTCACTCCTCTTTCGTAACTGATCTCATTCTTTTTCCTTTGCTCTCGAACAAAGGATTTTCTCCTCCGCCAACTGCAGTCTTCGCTCTTTTACCAGCTCCAGCACCATGGCATCATCAGAAAAATTTTGGGTAATACTCCCGGCTGTTGGTTCTGATTTTCTTCATAGTCCACCCTTTTCTTTTCACAGAGACGTTCACTCTCTTGCTCACAAGCACGTCGGTTTTCGCCGCCTCGTTGCATGTTCCCTTGTGGGATACTACTGTCTCCAACGTAAAGAGAACCTGGAAGGAGTCAGAACTACCTCATTCATCTTCAGGCTACGCCTCTGCATATGACGTGCACCCAAATTTAACTTTGTCTCTGGCAGTGAGAACGGGAAGGACGAGGGACACCCGTTGTTACTTTCATATTAAAAACTGGTTTCCGCCCTAAAGGGAAAGTAGAAGGGACAACAGATGCTACGCCTCCCTCAGCCATTATCCCGTCACTATTCCACTTAGTCATTCCTGTATCAAATCACAAACTGGAAGAGAAGTGACTCGTCTTTGATACAGTAGTCCCTAGTACTCCAGCTACTTTTAAATACTGTTGCAATTTTAACTCCTTTAATTATAATAATAATAATTACTATTATTACAATCAGAACTAAGCCTACAGTTGTCATACAGTGCTGAAGTCCTTTAAAAGGGTTCTAGGAGCTATTATGTATAAAGATTTTGGACGTTCTTATCACGTCAACTAGAAATACAAATTTGAAAAGACACTTGTAGGATGCTTAAGACTTCTTATATTTTGTTACTTGAGGAATGATCGAACAAAAGACCACCAATTTAAAATGTTAAGTGAAATATACTTTTTAAAATTTATTAATATAAAATAATTGTGGCAGTATATAAATGAAAATTACAGGAGTTACATTACTGTCAAAAAATACTATAATCTGTTTTATATAAATGTCATTCAGTATTAGAAAAGTGTGGCAACTTAAGTTAAAGAATTGTTTGATAATGCAAATGGTGGCAGGAAAGTCTTAGTGTAATGTTTGGGACAATACTGGCTAAGTTAGATAAGATTTGTCAGGAAAGAGGACAGTTGTTTCCTGACGCGGGTCTGTCATTTGATGATCCACCACTGGAGCCTTTGGTCATCTGACAGAGGCCTTCCTCTGGCTTACCTGTCCACCCCTTTAAAAATTACAGTGGATCATTATACAAGACAGGTTAGCTGAGGGCGAGGCCCCTCAAACACTCCGGCTGTTCAGTTGTGCTATGTGCGTGTACTTCATATTAGTATTGAAATTAAAATGCGTGTGCAGAAAATCCTTCAATTTCGATAATAAAACATGTAATTTATTTAAACATTCGTCGAATAATTAAACTGGCTGTTCATACTTTCGTTCATACTGGGAAAACCAGATGAAATATTACTACTTTAGTCTCTCCTTTACTAAATTATATATTTATAAAAAATGACGTATACAAATGTGAAATTACGAAAGAGACGGACACCTGTATGTGTGTGTTTGTAAGCCGAGAGGTGTGTGCAGGTACCCAGGGGTGTACCCCTGGGTACCTGTACCCTGGGAGACTCACACCCCTGGGTGCATATACCCTGGGAGACCCACACCCCTGCGTGCATATACCCTGGGACACACCCGTGGATGCATATACCCTGGGAGATGCACACCCCTGGGTGCATATACCCTGGGAGATGCACACCCCTGGGTGCATATACCCTGGGAGATGCACACCCCTAGGTGCATATACCCTGGGAGATGCACACCCCTGGGTGTATATACCCTGGGGGATGCACACCCCTAGGTGCATATACCCTGGGAGATGCACACCCCTGGGTGCATATACCCTGGGAGATGTACACCCCTGGGTGTATATACCCTGGGAGATGTACACCCCTGGGTGCATATACCCTGGGAGATGTACACCCCTGAGTGCATATACCCTGGGAGATGCACACCCCTGGGTGCATATACCCTGGAAGATTGTAATAAAGTTGGTAGAATTACCGACAATATGTAAAGTAAAAGGACACAAGTGCAACTAATGTGACATTTTATTGTGGCAACGTTTCGCTCTCCAGGAGCTTTATCAAGCCGTTACAGACAATACATGGACACAGAGGGTATATATAGGCTCAGAGTGAGGTGCAATACTAGTGGTAGTGGTGGTAGTAGTAGTAGTAGTATATGCACCCCTGGGTGCATATACCCTGGGAGATGCACATCCCTGGGTGTATATACCCTGGGAGATGTACACCCCTGGGTGCATATATCCTTGGTGCACATACCTTGGGAAATGCACACTCCTGGGTGCATGCACCCTGGGTGATGCACACCCCTGGGTGCACATACCTTGGGAGATGCACACCCCTGGGTGTACATACCCTGGATGATGCACACCCCTGGGTGTATAAACCCTGGAGCAGGAAGGAGAGTCAGTGTGTTCCTCAATAACGCTGAGGACATTGAGTCAACACCAGCCTAGCTTCCTCCTGTTTCAAGGCTGCCGCCTGCCTGCCTGCCTGCCTGCCTGCCTGCCTGCCTGCCTGCCTGCCTGCCTGCCTGCCTGCCTGCCTGCCTGCCTGCCTGCCTGCCTGCCTGCCTGCCTGCCTGCCTGCCTGCCTGCCTGCCTCTCTCTCAGCTGTTTACACTTTGTTTTTTGACTCTTTTTGTCTCGTCATGTTCTTTATTTTTTTCCATTGCTTGTAAACTGAAAGATAGTCTTGTATTTGTATATTTAATT